CGAGTAGTGAATGCCACAATAATTGAATGTTCTGCTCAACCAGCAAAGGAGTAGTAAGGCCTTGGTATAATCTAAATTAGTAGAGAAACCTCAATAATCTAGCTATATCAATGTGGTAATTTTTATTTAGATTATAGAGGGGGTTTTGTTGGAGAGTTTCTTTGTTTTAACTTGTGACTGCCTTTTATTATTTCTATCATGTTAGGCTATTGACCTGCATGGAGTCTGTCCATGAATGACGGAATTCTACAGAATGTGAGTTATACTGAATAATGGTCCTGCATATTGGGACCAATGAAACTGGTCAGATTCTACTAAAAACGTAAACAGAATACAAAATTCTGAAAACTGAGGTTACTAAATGTAGAGAGAAGGCATATGACGAAAAATATCCGCCTCTTGCCTACTCCTGTCTGATAGAATAGCAGGATTTGATGTTACTTTTATGGTGCGTTTTTGCAACAGTAAACAGCAAACCAAGAATTCTCGGATCCACAGTTCGAGTACAATATCCAATAGATCACATCCGGCCCGGCATGGCCAGGTGGTTAGGGGGCTTGATTCGCAGTCTGAGAGTCGCGGGTTCGAATTCCCGTCCCACCAAACGTGCTCGCCCTTTCAGCCGTGGGAGCGTTATAATGTGACGGTCAACCTCACTATTCGTTTGTAAAAGAGTAGCCAAAGAGTTGGCGGTGGATGGTGATGACTAGCTTCCTTCTCTCTAGTCTTTCACTGCTAAATTATGGACGGGTAGCGCTGATAGCTCTGGTGTAGCTTTACGCGAAATTCACAACCAACCAAACAAACCAGATCATATCTACTCACTACCTAGAATGCAAAGAGAACGGAAAAGTCTTGACGATGTAGGTAGCTTCTACCAACAAGATAAGTGTGAAATAAATATGTTTCAACAAGTTAGGAAATTCCTTCAAACAATAGAAACAGGATGTAAATATGATACAGAAGTCCTGATAATGTAGGTAATTTGTACTTTTAGTTGGGTGTTTGTAACCAAGCGCAAAGCCACACTATGGGTTATCTATGCTGTGCCCATCACGAGTACCGGAATACGGTTTCTTGCGTTATAAGTCCGCAGACATGTACTAAAAGAAATTATACGCTTGAAGAAACAGGAAAAGGGAAGATAAAAATAAAGTTTAGGTTTGATCCAAGGAGGTTTTTACACAAGTTTAATAACATTAAATTTTTATAGGAATGTCCAATACTTTGAACTTACCGAATTTTTATTTGTTTATAAAAATTTCGTAGTCATAACTTGGAAGAGTGAACGTTCTGCCTATATTATAAAAAATAAGAAGCCACAATATATTCTAAACTTTAATTTTTGAGTTCTTCTACTTTTGATAGATATTTGAAGAAACCAAAGCTATTCACTATTTTACTTGTGAAATGTTTGTTTATTTGTATGAGTTTTGCTTGCTGATGTGATCATTGTGAAGAACACAAAGCTTAGGCTATAACGTGACGTAACGTAACTTTTTTTTTTTCTGTATGTAAATATTTCTCTATCAATGAACCTGCAGTTAATTGTTCTACAGAATTTATAATCTCGTGTAACATTGGGTTAAGTTGACTTCTTTGTCAATGTTGTTTTTTGGCGGTGAAAATGGTATATGCTAAACATAAGGAGTAAAATTCATGGTTAGAAAACAAGTATATATAGTGTCTATTACATGTATTTCTCCTGTAGATATCTAGGTTGAAACCGGGGTGGGGATTACATTTAGAAAATTTATTATAAAATTATTTCCACTTTCAGCAGTGAATTGTAAGTTGTTTATATACGTGTTGAAAGAACATAGTTTGTGTATATTAGTGAATTCACAGAGAACATCGTCTACATATCAACCCAAAACAAAGGCTTATGATAGGATGTGTTAACTGCATGTTATTCAACATGGTGTAGAAAAAAAAGGTGGATATTTTACATGATAGAAGATTATACTATCCAGATGGCTGTAGCAAATGATTGAAGTACGTTGTAAAAGTCTGATTAATTATAATTATATGTTTAATTATAATTATATATTATTTCTTGGCGGAAGGTGTTTGTTTGTTTTTAATTATGCACAAAGCTACACAAGGGCTATCTGTGCTCTGCCCACCACGGGTATCGAAACCCGGTTTCTAGCGTTTTAAGCCCGTAGACATACCGCTGTACCACTGGGGGGCTGGCGGAAGGTGGGGGTGAGGAAATAAATTTACCGCATTGAAATAATGCATAGCAATATTACTGTCTAAATTATGTAAAACGTTTAAGGAAGTTTGCAGTGGTTTTTTTTTACAGTTTAATTTAGAAACGTAAGGCGTGAAGGGGCTTCTATGGATTTTAGGTATAGATTTTAAGTTTCCTTGCTTATAAAAGTTTTGAATTGCTTTTTTTTTATGTTAAATCCCAGAAAGACTGTATGATTCATAAATATTTAAGTATTTGATAATAAGGAATAATTTGTATGATAAACATTCATTGATTATCATAATCGATTATTCTAATTGCTTTTCTTTCAGCTTTTATGAAAATCTACAGCTTGCTTCAGAATAATTATCCCATTGATCACCTTACATAGCTTAATAACTTTGGGAATCCCGCTCTCCCAACCCCTCAGACAGTGAGAAAAAAAGCGTTAATATCACACACAACAACACTGGATCAAGAGTATGGAACCGGTCCAACATGATATGTGCTGTGCGCGTTTGACGTCAGGATGCGATCGAAGAAGCGGCAAACGTCGTTACCTAGGGAACTATAGTCAGTGCTTGGTTGAACCAGCAAGCGAATATAAAAGTGCAATGTTGGAATGATACGGGTTGCTCTGTACTTAAAAATCCTGAAATACCCAGTTTAAGAAGCAATACATTTTTATAAAGATAATTAATTTTATTCTGAGTGTACATATTCATTACTTCACCCATTTCAATGACACGTCTCCTTTCTCACTTTATGTTATAAGCTTTTTCAATTAATATGCACCAATACATTCTGTCTGAATATAGTACGTTTTTTTTATGACAGAATTTCAGTTCACGTCGGTAGTACGAAACAATAAGACAGATATGCTTCATGTGTTTTCAAAATATTTTTAGTATTTCGTTATAAACCGGTTATTGAAGAACGAAAATTATTTCTTTGTTGCAAACGTAAGAACGATAGCTTTTCATGATAATACACTACAGCAGAAAGATAAACATTATTATTGGTTAAACAATTAGAAATATAAAACAAGGTTTTAATTTGCTTAACATTTCCACTGACGATAAACAAGAAGGAATGCTCAATAGCCATGGCACTTACAATTCTTTTAGGCAGGATTAAGGTAAATTAATCTACGAGACCTTATTTCATTTTTATTAGCTACATTTTTATGCGCCAGCAATACCAAACGTGAGGCAAGTGTATACCCGATTCAATTTTATTACTCATCAGGATCTCTACTAGCCTACCCTCAAATTGAAAATATTTTAGGCAAGATTATAATACATTAATCCATGAGACCTTGGGCATGGTCAAATATATCAATCGAAAGGGTTTGACCTTCTCAGTAACTGTAATTAGATCTCGAATCGGTCAAGAGATGATGGAGCTATGAGCTAAAAGTTTATACTTGAAAAAAAATTAAACAACTCAAAGCCATTCTATGAGCTGCTATGCCGCGACTAAAAATAAGACTGTTTAAAAATAAAATTCCTCATAAGTAGAATGTCAAAAATTCTAAGAATTTTGTTTCTTTTGAAAACACTGAATGACAAACTGAAACTAATAACTCATACGTGAAAAGCAATATGTTAATTAGTATTAAATTTTTAAAATTATAGGCTGGTTAAAAGCAAGTTTCAGTTCCAAAAATTAATATAAAATGTTAAGCTTTTAAAGTTCCACTCACTCTTCCACCCTGGAAGTGTCATGTTCAAAAATAAAAAAAGAATAAAATATTAATAATTAAAACATGTTCTATACAAGTGTAATCTACTAAATATTTTACACAGATTATTGTACATAACTTACATGTTTATAGTTATTCTTGCATATACTAAAATATTTGAAAGGTCATTCAACGATATTAAATAATTGATATCCAAAATAGAGTAAACGTCTACCTAATCCTGGTGGTACTTTTATCAGCCGTTACCTGACCTTCATAGCGTGTGCACTGAAACTTAAGCTAAGTAACGTGATCGTTAAAATGTATTTCAAAGTAGCAAAAGTTATTGGACAAATAACATTATTGTAGAACAAGCAGTTACAAATTGTTCTTATAAGATTGTGATATTAATGAAAACTGCCCTTACTTCAAAATATAGATAACGACCCTAAAGAAATTCTAAAAATATTATCTATCTAAAGAAAAGTCATTTGTGCTTTTTATATTGGAGATCAGTACAGTACAGTGTCTTCAGGAAATTTGGCATAGTATTAATTTAATAGTATTATGAACATACATCATGCATATCCCTTTTGAAAGTATGTTAATTATCTAAATAAATAATGGATTATATATTAATTTTCAGACTGAGAATAAATGATATTACATTTTTACAGACACTATCGTAATAAGAATATTTATGGTTTCTGTATAATGAGTGATAAGCTAAGTTTAATAACGTGATTTACTGAATACCCATCCTTTGCATAGATCAGGCTTCGACTTAGTTAACAAGATATGTAAAAGTACCCTGAATTTTAGAGTTAAGGTAAATATTGTTAAGCTCAACTTAAAACCTAAACCAAAATTGCAACTTACCATAAATGTAAAAGCTCTTGGACAACAAGTTAATTCACTGATTTTTTTAAATAAAAAGTCAAGTAGTCGGTTGAAACAGTAGAAGAGCAGAGAAAAATTAATATCTTACGTGGCTGGTACTTATAGTACCAATCGAGATTTTCTAAACGGTATGCATTATCGAATGGGCAAGTTGAACAGACACTAGAGAGGCTTAGCTTTCCACCAATAAGCCTATACTGAGCTCATAAAAAAGGATATGGCCATTCAATAATAAACTTTGTGTATCTTCTTATAATGTTGTCCTCCTTGAGTATGAATAAGGATGTGGGGGCCTTCCCCCCCGGATAGTAGTGAGCACCCTTCTTCCGAGGCATTGCTTGCAATACACTTCCGTGGTGCGCTAACCCTCCATACTCGCTGAACGTGGAAAACCCAGTACCGCCTTCACCAGATCCTGCTGTTAGCGCCCTCAGTCTGTAAGAGAAGAAACGATATTTTTATTATTATTAAATGCTAATTGATCTGATTCATACATATTTATAGTTAATATTAACATGAAAATATACCTTTCAGATTTGGGGTATATCAGTGCAAAAAAAACAACAACAACAACAATCTAGTGTGAATTGAGAAAGAAGACTATTTGTCTTCATGATGAAGTCTAAAGAATAGACTCACAATGTGTGAGAAAGCGGGAAGAGGTAAACATAGGAAACAACCGAGAGAGAGTGAGTCAATTAGCCTATTAGTAGATCTACAATGAACGTGAACACTATAAATTTTATACAAAAATTAAGTGAAAATAAGACATGAACTATTGCATTTCCATTATGTTAAAGAAGCTTTTGAGTTCAATAGTAAATGAAAAAATATTATGTGAAGCCACAGAAAAAGCTGATGACTTGATAAAATAATATTTGTTCAACACCGAAGTTAGATCATTTTCCCGCAGAGCTTATAGTGAAATAAGGCGTGAGCTGAAAACATTTGTCAACTAAAAAGTGCCTATCTGGAAAATTTACTTCTCCGACAGGACTTTAAGCCAACATCTAGTGTTTCTGCGTTCCCTAAGTAAAGTATACTCTCTTATTTGTTTATTGTTACTTTCATTAACAGTATTAGCTAGACTGTATAATATATCGAATGTTATTACTTTTTTGATTATATTTATTATTATTGTACTTTTAATGTAAAAATTGTTATGTAAGTTAGTTTAACATACATTTAGGACTAACCCAAATCTCCTAAGCTGGGCGAACCTCGTGAGATATTATTGAAATTTTTGCTGAAAATATTGTTAACAGCGAGGGTACCTGTCTGTTAAAATAATGTATTCTATACTGGTTGACGGGTTGAATTTTTTAGTCTCCCTATAAGTTCTTAGCTTGCTCTGAACGGAAGTTAATATTAATTTTATATGGGTAAATTACACATAGAAAGAGAACAAACTTTAAACCCCCTGAACCACTTTTTAAAAATGTAGCGTGGTAGTATAGGATGTTCATTTGTCTCGTAGTTCTTTGATGTACATGTACCAGTGTGCGTGTTTTACTGTGTGAGTAACTTAAATATTAAGTTTATTTGCCTGTTTCATGAAACAATTATATTTTTACTTGCCAAAATTATTATTTTGAAACAACCAGATAGTCTACTGAAAGTTTTCTCCACTGAGAAAAAGAATTAAAACTAGTAAAATATTTGTCAGTCTTCAGAATGTTTTTAATTGTTGTTAGTTTTCTTGATATTTTTGCTGATTAGTGACTATTGACAAGGCTAAGTAAATTTGAAATAATGAAACTAACTTAAAGTGCTTTTTAAATATTTCTGTAAAAAAATGCACTGATTAATTTTACAAAGAACGATGAAAACTGTGTACTCTAAGTTAAATAAGAAACATAAATTAAAACAAAATTTATAAGTAAAGCATTATTTGTAATAGTATAACAGATAACCAGTGATCCAGGAAAACAAAATCAACTACTTATCCATTACACAATAACCTACTGAAAGATATGGAACTATTTCGGAATTCCATTGTAAAATAAAAAATGGAGAGAGCTGTCCAGTATATACGGATGAAAAATGTATATTTCATCACGTTACCAGTTCACTGCTCCTATTAAATAATTTCTGTCCTTTGTATTGAAGACTAACACATTGTTTGACAAAAAGAAAGTAACAACAAAAATCACTGATTAAATTATTAATGTGGCGCACTAAATGAAAATAGAATAAATAGGTTTAATTATGGAACCGAATTTAATTGTTGACCTGTTAAATCGGAAGCAAAATGCTTCTTATAGCTTGCCTCGGTCGTATCCTGGTATTTCTTTGATAAACAAAATATAGCGTGTTTGAAAGAGTATTCATTTTATTCATTGATGAGATAGAATTAAGCCTTGTATATTGAATACCATACCTCACGTGCGATGACATAATGCTGGAATTAAGTTTGCAAACACGATATGAAAGGTAAAGTGTATTAAGAAGTAACGAAAATGGTAATATGCTACTAGTACGTTAAGACATAGTTGGATATTTCAATGAATCAGCTTGAAATGCAGTTTCTAAACTTTTCCAATGTTCCCTCGCAGTATTAACTCAAAATACTTTATGATATCTTGAATAGAAATGACGAAAACAATGCATCACCTTTAAAAATTGCTAAAACAGTTTGGCAATATCTTTAAAACAATTGTACCTAAGCCTAATCTTGACAACCATCATGATATTCAGAACCAGAAACTCTTATTACTTTTGAATACTAATTATTGTAACTAATATAAATTGTTCATTTGTTGTTGAGCAGAGAGCCACAGAATGGGCTATCTGTGCTATGCCCACCACGAATACCGAAGTCTGACTTTTACCATTATATGTCCTCAGACTTACCGCTGAGCAGCGGATAACAAGAAAATCAAATCTTAATCATAAGAAGTTAATTAGGATTCGAATTTATTTAATAATAAGTTTTTATTCATTGAAATTCTAGATTATAATTGTGGTTTTATCATCATGATACATTCAATGAACTATCAACATTTAACAGAAATACTTATTCTGGGATATAAAAAAGGCGTGATAATTAAATTTATATTTGATTTTTCAAAACATTTAATAAAACTTTATTACGTCAATAACATTTCCAAGATGAAGGGAACTTTATGCAACACGTGGGCTGAATGGCTAGGCCAAAGAATCCAAGGTTGGGGCATAGCCATCCCTAATTTAGAATAACTGACCAGAAGAGGCCCGGCATGGCGGGTTTGAATCCTCGTCCCACCAAACATGCTCGACCTTTCAGCCTTGGGGGCGTTATAATGTGATGGTCAATCCCACTATTCGTTGGTAAAAGAGTAGCCCAAGAGTTGGCGGTGGGTGGCGATGACTAGCTGCTTTACATCTAGTCTTTTACTAAATTAGCGACAACTTGCGCAGGTAGCCCTCGTGTAGCTTTGCGCGAAATTCATAACAAACAAACTGACCAGAAGAAACACCTTCTCCCTCTGTGACTATTTTTAATCGAAAAGAGGAATTGTCTACCAAATTTATAATGTCTCCTCAGCTGAAAAAGCACAATGTATTCAGCGGCTTAGCGTCATGGGTTGCGGATCGCCATGTCCAAGGTTTGAGCTACGAGGTCACGCCCAGCCATTTCAATATAAAAAGAAAAAAATTCTAAGGTTATCAGAGTTGTATCTGAAACGCTATGAAAATACCGTGAAAATAAAAGAATTGTAGAAATCGTGAAATAGGCTTTCCTTTCACACTAAAAGTAATTGTATATTGATTAACAAATAGAAGTCGTATTTCCTCGAAAGTTATGTTGTTGTTTTTAAGTGTTAGTTGAAATGCTTATTGAGAATATAGTGTTGATGCTAAAGAAATTAATGGCAGTCATAATACCACGTATCTTCATGTTGCACAAAACTTTGGTTGAAAATAGTGGCCCAGCAACAAAAAGAAATTAAACTAACGTTAACTAAGTATGTTTTACAGAAAATATTATACATTGTGATGGCTATAAGTACGGACTGTAGAGATTGTAAACTATCGTCGCATATTTAGGGAATGTTTAATACAAATTCCAAGGATACGAACAATGAAGATGGTAGTGCTAAGAAAACATATACGCAGATAATCATGTATGCGGCAGCACTGCCTATGTAGGGATGTAGGGATTGTTTATCAAAATGATATTTTAAATATCTCCTCAATAGGTATTCATAACTTTACAATACTATACAGTGTTTCCTTTTATAACAATACCTATGTAATGACTGAGTGACAAGTTTTGGGAATGTCTGTAAATATCATAGCAAACAGTTTGAATTTCTTGTTCTTTTTTTCTTCCTTCCTTTTAATTACATGGTAACTCAAAAACCAAAACAATGGTGTCAACCAAATTCACTGAGGTGACAGTTTCAAACGAAGTATCCGCTTTTATGAGTA